ATGATCTTTATCAATAGATCATGTCATATAACCATGGTCTAAAATCAAATGTTGTAGTAGTGCATCTTTAAAATAATTATTTCAAAACATATATACAAATTACAAGAAAATCGACGAAATAGACAAAACTAAAAAAATCAAATTGAACCAAATCGGAAATCGATTTGTTTCATCGATTTTGCAGTTCGGTTTTCGGTTCATAATAATGATCAAATCGATTAATTTAAGTTCATTTGGATTTGGTCGATGAAGTTATATATGTTCTACCTGAGTTTTTTTATTATTTTTATTTTCAAATTTTGGTTTGGCCCTAAAATAAGGACAAAATTGTGGATATTCCCTCACTTATTAGACACTTTTTAAAATTTAGAAACTTACACCATTTTTTTTAGTTCAGAATTTATACAGCCCTAAAGTTTAAGAACTAAATTTGTATGTCAATTAACCTGAGGATTAGCTCAACTAGTCTAGATATCTATTTTCGACTAAATACAAAACGCTAAGGGAATATAAACTATATGAAATTACATGAAATAAGATTATGTAATGCCTAATATCTTGAACTCGAACAACAATCCTTGAACAGTTAGTCACTGTGCCAAATGGAAGCGTGTTTTGATGAATTAATATTAATATGGAATTGGAAGTCGGGGTAAAAAGGTAGGAGAACAACACAATATTATAATTCAAAATTTTTTTTTTGATAGGTACAATTATAATTCAGATTTTTTAGATAGCAGAAAGATAGTCTTATTCCACGCTTAACTACAAATGCTCTAGAAGATTTATTGGAGTTGGGAAAAATTACGTTACAAGATTCACTTTTTCATTTTTTTAAACACAAATATAAGGTTAAAATTTGAATTGCCGATAACAAGGGACACAATAAATATAATGTAATGGTCAGAATTACAAAATTAATAGACTATGTTAAAGAGACATTTTTAATATAAAACACAGGTTGAAATGTTGAAAGTATTGCATAACAACAAATCGTTTATTAAAATGGATTAGAAAGAGCAACAACATAATATTTCATAACAACAAACCAATTTGAAGTCGGTAGCCTAACAAACAGGTTGATCAATGTGACCACATTTGTTGAGATTTGTCATGTCCAATGCAAGTATCACCAACGTAGACGCATAATCAAAGCGGGACTTCCAAACTGAAGGCTCAGGTGTAAACTCCACAAAATCATCCTCACAAGTAGTTAAGTAGCTTGCAATTCCTGACAAATCCAAATTCAAATCCGAATTATGTTCCTTCAACAGTTTTTCCGTCAACATACATTCGATAGTCATCCAGCACCCAACAAAGACCTGACGTGTTCGATCCCCTAAATGTCCACTTTTCATTTGGTTATCAAGGTAAGAATGATTATCAATAACGGCATATAAAGAATGGTTGACGAATAGGGTGAGAAGACCAGTCAAGTTTGATTTCAAATCTTCATCGACATCTGAATTGATCACAGAAATGCAAACCTCTTTAAAATCAATTTTGTTGCATGTATCTCAGACAAAATCATTCGCCACCTTCGTCTTCTCATCTACAACAACATTGGCTGCTGTAGAATAAATAAATAAAATTATAAAAACAAGAACAGGTAATTGATTCATTTTTTTTCTTTGGAAACTTGTTCTTCTACCTTGTGTAAATGTTGTATATTTATACTGAAGATAATGAATTTTTAATTTCGTATTTTCATGCATTAAAGAGAGTTATTGAGAGTTACTGTGAATATCACTAAATAAGGAAATGATTATAACCAAGGCATATATAGACAAAATTTCCTTAATTACTGTGTATATATATATATATGACAATGGATGTCCAAAACCAATCTTTTAAATGAGCAATATTAATTTTCCCAAAAAAAAAAAAAGGAGCAATATTAAGTAACTTTCTTTTCCCAACTTTCTAAAATAATAATAATAATAATAATAAAACTTTTTATTTCCAAACAAACAAATAATTGTCATTCATTTTGAATACAAGTAAAGGACGTTTATTTCTAAAGAAAACATCTTTATATGACTGATTATCTATAATTAATACAGTACTGTATTTCTACCAAATAGATCATGTCATATCATCTTGATCTAAAATTAAATGTTGCAGTTGTACTCTACAAAAAAAAAATGTTGTAATAGTGTATCTTTAAAATAATTATACCAAATCTGTTTCAACAAAATAAAAATAAAAACAAATAATTATACCAAATCACATATACAAGTTACAACCAAAATCGTACTAAAAAAAAGTTACAACCAAAATCGACAGAATAAAAAAAAAAAAAGAAAAAAACAATTGGACTGAACAAAATTGAAAATAGATTTCATCGATCTTGCAGTTCGGTTTTTTATTCATAATATAATAGTGAATTCGAATAATTTAGTTCATTTCGTTTAAGTTAATGAAGCTTTATAGGTTCTGCACGGGCCTTTTATTATTTTTATTTTCAAATTTTGGTTTGGTCCTAAAATCAAACCAAATCAAATTGTGAACATTCCCCGACTATTAGACACTTTTTAAAGTTTAAAAAATTACACAATTTTTTTTAATTTGAAATTTATTCAACCTTAAAATTTCTAAATTTATATGTCCACATGAGTATATAGCTCAACTGGTTTAGGTAGATATCTCCAACTTAAAATACCAAGCAAAGGAATATATATTATATAAAACATGAATTAGGATTATGTGTAATGCTTAATATCATCAACTCGAACAACAATCCTTGAACAGTTAGTGACAACGTCAAATGAGGAAACTAGATTTGGAATTTCGAAAATTTGGATTATAAAGAATGCTAAAAAAAAGGACGTTAGATTTTTTGAGGAAGCATGTGAGGGAATTTCTCCTACGTTTTGTATTAAATATATAGGATAAAACTTGTCTCATCGATGGTAAATGAGCAACCTTGTCCTTACCACCATTAAATATTTGATAAATAAGATAGAGAGATGAAAAACAAAAATTTCTTTTAAAAATTAATAAATTGTCAAATATTTAATTGTAGTAAAGACAAAGCTGCTTCTTTTACGGATGAGGAGTCAAGTTTTATTTTATATATATATATATATATATATATATATATATATTATGTTAACTAAAGTTTTCGGGAAAATTTGTGTTTTAACGAATTAATAGAAATATGGAATTCTGTACAAATTCGGGGATCTTTTTTAATAATGCTTTAATTCAAACTTATTCCAATATATATCAACCCTCAAACTAGTTCCAAGAATAATGCTTGTAAATTATAGAGAGAAACGACTTATACCACTTCACAATTATTTACGAGTTGTATGACGCCAGCATGTGTCTTCAAGAGACGACATATGCCTAAATGATTTGAGGGTTGATATATATTTGGAATAAGTTTGAAATAAAGCATTATTAAAAAAAAATCTCAAATCCAGGGTACAAGGGTAGGAGAACTGTAGAATATTGTAATTCAATTCTTTTATAGGTATAATTATGATTCAAATTTTCTAGATAGCAAAAGGATAGTTATATTTTATAATTAACTACAAATGCTACAGAAATTTTTTTGAAGTGAATTAGGAAAAATTACAATACAAGATTGACTTTTTCATTCTTTCAGTGTAATAAATATGAGGTTGAAATTTGAATTGTGGATGTCAAGAGACACAAATATAATGTAATGGTCACTACTAAGATTAAAATTTAAAAACTATGTTAAAAGAGACATTTTTAATATAAAACACTTGTTGACATGTAAAGTGTTGTATAGTAGCAAATCATTTATTAAAATGGATTAGAAAGGGTAACATAAAAATGTAAAGTATTGCGTAACACAAAAGTAGCTAGCAATTCTGGATAAATCCAAATTCATATCTAAATTATGTTCCTTCGATATATAGCTTAAAGAATCATTACTCTCTCACGAGGTAACCGCCTAACTCTATCTATAACATTTGGCGTCGGGAAACACAAAGAAATTACTAATTCCTAAGGTAGGTAGCCATAGCTTAAAGAATCATTACTCTCTCACGAGGTAACCGCCTAACTCTATCTATAACATTTGGTGCCGGAAAACACAAAGAAATTACTAATTCCTAAGGTAAGTAGCCATGATAAGATTTAAACTCATTTTCTCTTAATTAAGTCTAGTCCCTTTAGATCAATGAGCCATCCATGATGGTTTTATTATATATATTTTTTAAAGAACCTTCTAACTACAATAATTCTTAAAATCAAATTCATATTATTATAATTTAACCAAAAGTTTTTTTTTTCTTTTTTTTGGCAAGTACAATATATGGGAGAGGAAATTCGAACTCACAACTCATTTTTTTTTTGTTTTTTACTCCTTAACATCATGTTTCGTTTTACTCTTTGGAAGTATGTTTGAACAGCCAGGAATTACTCTCATATGTTAAAATACATTCTGTCATTGAGAATATTTCAAAATAAAAAAATAAAAAACTTGACTACTTAACTTCATTTTTCCTTTGTTGAGAGGCTCCAACTCTTGTGATATTATTTATTTTCTTCTCATTTCTTTACATGTCAACTCTTTTTGTTTTGAACTCGAGCTTCCAATTCTTTTTGTGATATTATTTATTTTAACTCTAAGGTTTTTTTTTTTTAATTCTAATACCATTTGAAAACTATAATATTAATCATCGAAGATTTTAATTTTCAACTCGAGTTGATATATCGATTAAGAAAATAAAATGTTTGATTGCAACAATTTGGTAAATATAGGGATTGATTGATCAACTTGATACTTTGAGGGTTTGATTGTTACAACCTCAAACATGGTTTTTGCAATTTTACTTTTCTTTTAAATATATAATTTGTTTTATAAAATAATTTTAAATATGTTTCTTCTTCCAAAATCTAAAAGTAGAAAATTCAAAACAAAAAAAGTTGACATGTCAAGAAACGAGAAGAAAATAAATAATATCACCGGAGTTGGAACCTCCCAACAAACAAAACATGAAGTTAAGTAGTCAAGTTTTTTATTTTTTTTTTCGAAATATTCTCAATGACGAATGTATATTAACATATCAAAGAGTAATTTCTGGCTGTTCCAAAACAGAATCGTCACATATAACTTGTAATATCAGTACACACAACAAATTTCTTCAGACACGTAAATAAAAACACAGTACAAACTTTAGGATTGCAGTTTAATTTGTATGGATTTTAGAAGAACAAGAAGAACAAGAACAGCCCATGAGTTCTTATCTAGAGGAGAGCGAAGCCCTGAAGAATCAAAGCATCAGCAAGAACTTGATTTGCAGCCTCAGATGGATGAACACTGTCCCAAAAGACATATTGAGTTGCATTTGAACAAGTTCCCCCCAAGGACTTTGGATTGCACAGAAGTGATGTTGTCTCCACTGTCCCTGTTCCACAGCACCCTTTTCTGGCCTCCACAAAGCCTAACAAAGCAAGAAAATTTTAAATTTGTGATCCATTTTACATAGTTTCATATGCTTGATTGAATATCAGACAGTCTACAAAACTTTCCCTCAAGGAACAAAAAAAGCTTGATCCTTACCATTTTTCGATGGAGAGCTGATGACATCGTAGAGCGGCTTGTAAATATCGAAGATGACGATCCTAAAGCCTGGGAGTTGCTTTTTCAGACTTTCTGCAGCAGAGTTCAGCTTCTTATTGAAGGCCTGCGCGTCAGTGTTGATCCTTGAGACACACCCATTTTGATGGTTGCCAAACAAGGTGAGAGCAGCAGGGAAGCAACCCAATGGAGGAAGTGAAGTCACTCCAAGTCTCCTGGCTCCTAAACCGTATATATCCTGTTTTTCGATACCAATCCATCAATTTTATGCAACTTTTCATTCAAAATTGGTTATGAAGGCCCTGGAAAGCCAAATGGTTTTTGCAACAATAAGAAAATACCTTGACAAATGTTGTAAATGCTCCGATGAGCATCGAGCCGTACTGATCGGGGGTGTAGACCTTGTTAACATAAGGATTGATGTAATAATTCTGTAGAAAGTCGCCACTTCCCGCACTCAGTAAGTAGAGTGCGTCCTTGATAATGGATGCTGCTTTCTCATTACCCGCTACCTTAGCCAGTTTGGCTTGGTACTCCTTGAACAACCCAACTTGTTGGGGCAGTGAAAGTGCATGCTGTTTCACCAAGTTCAAAGTAAAATGTAAATCCAGAAGAAGGGCTGATCTGCTCAGGATGATATTGCTTCCACAAACAAAATTTTACATTCTTACATTTAAGAGGGCAGCGTTCTGATCATAACCTGATGCGGCTGAGGCAAAGTTGACTCCAATTAGAAGATTCTTACCGGTTGCCTCTGGGCTGAGGTACGGCAATGGAAAGGTCTTAAATCCTAAAGTTTGAGCTGCAGAGAAAAAAAAAACAATAATAATAGTTACAGAAGAGAACTTAAATATAACTGCAGTTCTCGAAAGACAAAACACATAATTCAACAGTCAATAACAGCTTGATAGCCAGGCTTCGTTTTATATTGTTTCCATATCTTGTTTTCTTCAAAACTTCTGAGAATATTTGTTTTAAGTTTCCAATTTCTTGTTTTCAAATGAAAATTCCTAAAAGCATGTTTAGATCTTAGAAAAAGTATGTAAAATCATATTTCGTTCTTCTTCTTTATAGTTTTGTGGGAAAACAAGAGAGAGGGAGAGAACCAATATAACTATCATATTACTACATTTAAAACTTGAACTGGAAATGGCAGATTCGACTAAGAAACTACGAAATCAAACATTTCTATTTGTTTTTCATGTTTTCAAAACTCATAAAAATACATATATCAAATATGGGGACAGAGAAAGGAAGGAACAAGAGGGCAGATATAATAGAATGTAAAATTCTCCCAAATCCCTGATCACGTAGCTATTTTTTTCTCCAAGAAACATGAAGAACCAGAAGAATGATGAGGGCATGGCACCGACAAAGTGTGCCCTTTCTCTGAAAGAAAAATATGACTTTAAATTGATGCAGGAAGTTTATCCAACCATCATGCAAGCCAATGTGTTTAGTTTTCAATGGAGATAAAAGATTTTGCACGTACCAGTGAAATCAGTAGCAAGTTTTCCATTGCAAAACCTGCCAGTGGGCTGATGATTAACAAAGTCCTTTCCGTATGGAGGGTAATTGGCCTTGAAAATAGTATAAAGATAGTTATTATTTCCCACATCCACAGCAGAATCACCAAAAGTTATGATAGCAGGAACCAAAGTGGTAGACTCTTGAGCATTTCCACCCCCAAGCAAAAATGCAAAGAACATGACCAACACTTTGCTAATAATATCCATCTTCTTTAGCTCTGTGATTTGCAACTGAACCATGAATTAGAACTTATAAGGAAAGTCAGAATGACCCACATTAGATTTTTTTTAATTGAAGGAAGCTGGAGGTTGAGTCCACCCAATCAATAAGGACCAATGAAGAAACATTTTCATAGAAGGTAATGAGCTTTAAATACCTTACCAAATCCCCAAGGAAGCAAATTTTTTCCCTTGGCTTCCGTTTGTTTTTCTTTCCTTTCCTGCAAGAAACCATTATGAATAAAATTATTTAGCTGGAAAACTATGAATTCATGCAACATTTAATGAAAAGCTTCGGTGAGGTAGTTGGGTGATAAATGGTGGTTGTGCTATGAGTTAAAGCTGCTTGAGTTTGCATGTGCAGGAGTTAATATGATTGTAGCAGAGATAAAACCACTGTACTACCACTGAGTAACATCCATAATGTGAGAAATGTGAGTGGTTATAAAGCCTATAGCCTATGTACTACTTTTGGCTCTTCAAAAACATAGTGTTAGTGTCTGTCTGTAATAAGAGACAGGAAAAGTCAACCAAGCAGAACTCTGAAGGGTAGGTGGGAAGAAGCTGACATTATCAGCAATAAGTAGGATAAAAAAGCTTCTTGCATTTGCCCAAAAAATGGTTGAAGCAGATCTATGTCAACTCAGAAGGTTTTGCATGTGGTTAAGCATTGACTTAACAAGTTCTTTGCTCAGGCTTTGCCAAATCTACCTTCATTTGGACCATTAAATTCTGAGATGAAACCATATCAAAAAAATAAAATTTGTTAAAAGTGTCCATAGAATTACCAAGTTTATTTACACAGAAACTGGATACAAGGTAGATGAACATCATGATCTAATTATAGATAATGTGTACCAGAAATTTTAAGCTGCTGTATTTTTAACTGGCAGGCAGCTTGTTAAGTAAAAATATGTGCCATCTCTATCTGGTTCTCTGAACCTTGGAATCCATTTATTTTTATGGGTTTTCTACTTCAATCTCATTAAGGGTTCTTGTGTTGATCATCAACCATATGCATTTTGGTTTTCACCCACAAATTTAAAGCCCTTAATATTGCTTTGACTTAATATTGATTGGAACTTCTTCCTTCCTGTCAAGAAGGAGGTAGTTTTGTAGTCCTTTCATTTTAGGTGGACAAGTCACGGGAATCAACCAATTTTTTTATTGAGTGAAAATATAGTACAATATTTGCAGAGAAGCTAGAAAACACAACCCTTATTCTTTTTTTTCCCTTTTTTTTTTTTTTTGAAATACACAACTCTTACTCCCACAATACAAAGGAAGTTACCCAGCTTCAAATCTCTAGCCTACTGCATCCTGTCGCTGGTCTCATTTCACCTTTTTGTATAAACAATTCACAGGACTCTCAAATCTCAAAGTTCTTGTTTTACCATTTCAGCTTGGCAGGGAAGTACTGCAACGAAATATGTAATTCCTGTTCAGTAACTGATAATGTACTGGAAAAGAAGGAATATATGGATTATATTATTATAAGTGAGGTTACCTTCTCAATGAGAGAGAGATAGTATGGCTTCACTTTGTCGACATCGACGTGAACTTTACTCTTACTGTAAAGATCATATTTGCTTCATGGGGGGAAAGAGGAAAGCAGATTGACTTCAGTTAGCTGACAAACTTGAAATTCGCTAAATATGGCAGTGAAGAAAAATGTTGTCTTACTTGAATATGTGTAGCCACTTCAGGTTTTCGCCATCCTCCTCATTCATCAAGTGCTTATATGCACCTGATCTATGTAATGCTGCACAATCAAATATTTTTAGTAAGCTTACTGGTTTTTTCATAGGTAAGAGTTTCACTAAAACCAACTTGTTTTTTACCCTTTTTAAATTTAACTTACAGTAAAATGAGTGGTATCTGATAACAAAAAGAGCTGCAGAAGGTAGAGTAGTATTATTCGCCTTTGCCACCTGAAAGTTCCATGCAATTATAGACTTCATCATCTTAATTTATGAAAGACATTACTCAATACTCTGAAGTCTGTAGAGGTTGGAGGGATACCATATACATATAGTCATCATGCCCCCAAGACATTATTACATTGTCGAGTCCACAATTCGCCGAGTAAACTCCATATCTAGTGTTGTAAGCCGGATTATGGCAATCAGGATTTTGCGTGAAATACTGTAATTAGAGGGTAGTAGAGTTAACGGTTGTAAGAAAAGTGAACAGTTTGTCGGCACTTTAATTATGAAGAAAATACCACCTTGTGGTGGACAATGGATTCATCAAAAGCACAACCCAAAGGGTAGGTGTCTCCTGCAAGTTGGTCCAATGTTTGATAATAATTAATAAAAAGAAGAAACTTCATAAAACAAAAAATCAGTATACAAAATCATGTGATTCCTCTCTATGTTAGATTGAAGCTCATGCTTACCTACAACTGCCCATTGAGGAAGACCCCCGAAGCTTGGAAGAAGAAGCACCTTTCCAAGGTCTAAAAAGTAAAAGACAGATAAATAATGGAAATAAATAAGGAAATAAAACTAGACAAATGAATATTGCAGTCTCAAATGGTTGAAATGCACACAATTCAATGTGATGCCTTAATAAATCTATTAATGAAATACAAAAATTAATTTTATCAAGTGTTGAAGACCAAAATGAAAATTTTTAAAATGGAAGAAGAAACCATAATATGAAATAACCTATTACGGATTATGAACTCCACAAATCTCCACAATAGTGTGTGGTAAAATTTTACAAATAGTGTCAAATAATAAAACTTTTAGGATTACGAACTCCCCAAATCTCACAAATCTCCATATTGGAGAGTGTTTGGTAAGATTATAAGAACGGTGTTTTAACTTCTAAATAAGACACTTATTGTTATGTAGCAAAAACAATTTCAAAATATGTAGTAAACAACCTAAAATTACTTTTATAATATGAAAGAGGGCAAAATTCTCAAATACATTTTTTTTAGTGAGAAACCTAGACTTCATTGAGAAAAAAAAAATGAAAGAAAACAAGAGACAAAGAACAAGCCAAGGGATACAAAAAAACCAGCCCAAAACAGCCCGCAACCAGGGGAGTCTCCCACTCTCCCAACTATGGCTCCAATCCAAAATTATAAGACCTAATAGAGAATTACAAATGTCCTTGGAAATTGATGCCAAAGTAGAGACATTAAACCTAGCCAACGACCGTACCTCCTCCCAAGATCTCTCCCCATTCCTAAAAACTCTGTTATTACTCTCTACCCACAAGTCCCATAGAACCGCAAAAAATAAAGCAGCCCATAAAATCCGACCCTTATTCTTGAAGGGAGGAAACAAGAGGGCCCCTCTAACCACGAGCCCCATTACAAAATTTTAGACCCTACAAAAAAAGAAAGCAAAAAAGAAAATCAAACATAAATGGAAATATTGTCCATAATTGCCAATGTTGACTCTGGTAGCACTTCAAACCAAGGCTCGTTTATCTATCACCCACCGGTGAACAGATTTCATGGGGTAGGTCATTCTTATCACAAGCAAAGCAGATACACAAACTTGGGAAATTCTCAACCTAAATAAGCACATTTCAGATAGAATAATCAGAMAAAAAGGATGAATAGAATACCGTGTATAAGAGCAGCCAAATGCAGCCAATCTTCATTGGGATAATCCTTTCTGATGGCCTCAGCGGACTGCAACAAGTGCTGGATTTGAGGCTCATCCAAGTCTGGATCGCTCTCATCGACTACATCATTGAGAAGCTCGCAGCACTCCCATATGCTCATCTCCACACGGTTCACCTGGCCGTACTCTTTTCTCATCTTCTTCACCTGCAAAATATTCCGCCATTTTCATTTTCCAATTCTCGCTTGGAGAACAGAACAGTTCTGCAGCGCGGGGAAGTGGAAGGAGAAGGGGAAGGATCGAAACGACGCCGTAATGAAAATAGCAGAATTAAAATAATTAAAAACTGCTTACGTAGTCGTAAGTTTGATTTATGTGGTTGAGTTTGTAGAAATTCTCCACCCCTTGTTGCCTTTCGCTTTCCACGTCATAGTCCCTGTTTCCGCAAACTGGGGTTAAAAATGTAATTTCCTTGTAGAATTGGAATATAATTATATAACAATCCCAATTTAAATTTTTTTTTTTTTTTTTACTTATTTTGTCTATTTCGACTGGTTAAGATATGTTAAGTTGATATCAATATAAGTCAATTAATTGTTTATCCTTTTATTATATTAAAATTATAAGCTGAATTTATGAATATTGATACCAGAAATTGATTAATTTATATCTTAAACTTAGCTTAATTAGTTAAATTATTAGTAGCTGTTGTAAGTTTAAATTTTTATCATATTAATTATTTAAAATATATACTCTTAAAAAAGTCTTCACCAATGTATTTAATCTTAATAAAATTTAACTAATTTAGATATTAGTAAAAAAAAATTAATAAATTTATCCTCTGTTTGGAATTAAAAATTACAAGAAACGATTTCAAACCATGTGATTTATACAAAAGAGGAAAAGTTTTTTTTAATCCCTATCATTTTTTTTAAAACAGAAAAAAGAATTTATGTCGTACCTTTAATAATTTGTTGTAGTTGAAGAAATTTCATAGATCGATGTTTTTAATATAAAAATTAATGATATTTATTGCTAGGTTCTTTTAATTGTTTTAAATATACTTTCTGAAAATAATGTAAAATTAACCATAGAAATATGATAATTTTTCAATTCAAAATAAAATAAAAAAATTATTCTCATAAGCATTACCAGAAAACAAAAAGGTTGTAAAATTCTCCATACCTCGTATATAAAGTACACAAAAAAAATTAATTAAAATGATCTTATCAACAAATCACTTTTCTTAATTTTGAAATTATTTTGAAATCAATTATTTTATTAAAACACCCTACGAGTATAAAAGATGTTTTCTTTTATTAATATCTTTAGGTTAGAAGTCGATCCCACTCTGAAAGGTTAATTTTTATTAATTTCTCCAACAAAAAATAGATATAATAGGCTAACTTAAAAGACAATACCAATTGTTCCCACCAACCAAACTAGCCAGAAAATAAAAGAATTATTAAAACTTTCAATTTTATATTTAATAAATCTGACCCACTTGAAAAAATTAAAAAGAAAAAAGAAAAAAAAAACTTATTCAGACATCAAATCCAAATTTTCTGAAATGGAAAATTTCTGATATAGACAAAAATTCGTAAACAATATTCGTGTAAAAGAGGTTAAAAGAGAAAAAGGAGCAGACCTAAAGCCGTGGCCAAATGCATTGGCATCCGGCACCAAAAACCCTCCGTCCAGCGACAAGTCCGCCTCTCCATTCACCCCCTTCCCCTCCTCCGCCGCCACCACCGCCGCATCTCCTGCAAAATCAACCGCCGCCGCCCACAATTTTAAATCTAATTTTATTAAGAAATCTAACTATGAACGAGAACATTACTAAAGGGATCCTGCAAAAAATAACCCGAGGGAGAGGGGATGAATACCAAACTTCGGCTTCTCAACGAGGACCGTCATCGTGGAAGCGGCGAGAAAATGAAGGGAAACGAGAAATAAAACGAGAAGGAGAAGATATGGTTTGGTGATGGCATTAATATATAATGGAAGGGGCGAAGGTATTTATAATTGGCCGGAAAGCCCTTCCCTGAGAATTTTCAGGCTCCGAGTCCTTCCTCCGAAATAGAAACTAATTTTTGCTTTTATTTCGGGCGTGTTATTTTCCCATTCATCGACTCCTCGCATGCAAATTTTTTTTAATTTTTTATCCTCAATAATAAATTTATGGAACACTGTCTCAGATCGAGATGAAGACAAAACAGAATTCTCTAATCATTACACGCACATCGGGTCTCACCATTTTATTTTCTTCCCACTATTTATAGCTTTATTATTTTTCTTCCTCCCATTTTCCACTCCTTTTTTTCTTTCTTGTTTTAATTTTTCTTCCATTTTCTAAGCTTTGTACTTATCTCAGATTCAAATCTACACCAATATTGTAAGAAGGTAACGGTCCACTCGGTGATCTCAAATTTGAAAACCTGAGATTTAATAAAAATATCATAAATATATTCTCTCTTTTTAATATTCTTAGATATGAATTTAGTGGCATATTTAAAAATTTCTCAATTCATTACAAGAATCATAAGCTTTGTCAACAGTTTCTCAAAAGAGTTGAGAAAGATTTAATTCTCTCGATGGTATTAATAAACTGTCGAGAGATAGAGATGTTCTCCCGACCCTTTTAAGAAACTGTCTAGAAATAATGTTTTTAAATTTTTTTTTTAAATAATATAACTCCCGACTCTTTTAAAATATGGTCGGAAAAAATTGTTATTTCCTATGGTTTTAAATTATAGTTGGGTGTGCATAGTGTTTTTCAATTTTTTTAAATATTACAACTCCGACCGACTATTCTAAAAAAGTCRGGAATTGTTAATATGCCCGACAAATTTTAATAATAATCGGTAGAAGTTGACTTTATGCGACTATTTTAATATACCATCGAGCATAAAGCTTTACCCAACCGTTTTGAAAAATAGTTGGGTATTGTTTACAATTTTTAAAAATAATAGTTATCCCGATTATTTTTTAAAGTAGTCGGGAAATATTGTTTTTACCGATGGTTAGGTAAAAGGTGTTTAGTAATATATTTTTAAGCCAGTGGTAGTTATTAACTAAATATTTGATTCAATTTAAAATAATCCTAATTAATTTAAACTGGTATAATTATCATTTCACAATATTAGTGGTATAATTTATAATATTATATTTTACCTGCTTTAATTTTAATAAAAAATGAAACGAGTTTATACCATATGAAATAACATATTTATCCCACTTTTTTATCATTTTTAATGTAATGTGTGACAAATGTTTTTAAAGTACTATTTTATTTTATATATATATATATATATTTTATGTTGTCACAAATATTCTGTTTCTTCAAGGAATGATGAAGTTTTTATTTCTTCTATAGTGACAAATTTATTTATTCGTATGTTAAATCTAAAAAAAAGAAAAAAAAAATTAGAAGTAAAATAAAAGATATATTTCAACATATTTTAAACTGCCTATTATTTTTCGTCCTCTTTTGTTGCAAATTAAATGGATAAATAAAGGGTTGTTTGAAAGTAGTCTCAAATGCAATTTTATACTCTTTAGTTTTTATAATAGAAATTTAGTAAATCTATGTTTACATAAATGTTTATTTAGTGTTTTTCTCCTGTTTTTATGGATTGACTGTCTTATGGAATAATTGGACTTGTTTTTTTGTTTCAAAATCTTATTATTTTTGTAGCCACCTAATAATTTTCACTTTTGCAAAACCATAATAAAAATTAAAAAAATAAAAATAAAACTCTTAGAAAAAAATTTAAAATAAAAATGAACTGTTTTTTTTTAGAACAATCCTAAAACAACCTCTTATCTGGTCTCCATTCACACGTGTTGTAAATCATTGATCTAATTTAAAGTTGAATATATTAAAAAAAAAAGAGTAAAGTACCAACTTCTTAAAACTCTTTTTTCTTTTTAATTTTTATTTCACTTTATCAAATTGTCGAGAAATTAAATATCACATTGGTGCTTTATTTGATAGATGGAAATAACAATGTTAAGAGTGGTTACTGAGATTTAATGAAATTTAATGTTTCATCTGTCATGTAAACCGTAAATAGCCCTCAAATATTTGTTTCTTTTGTTTTTTCATTTTTGTTATGAAAAAACAAAACCTTCCAACTGACTAATAACAAACAGGTAAAATATCAAATCATCAGTTTCATTTTTAATATTTTAAAATTTTAAAATTTATCTTTAATGTATTAAAAAATTATCAACTGGATCATTCGGTAAACAAGAAATTAATTTAAACATTGCTCAATTGGTTAATATATATATTCTCGATCAAAAAGTTAGAGATTCAAATCCTCCACTCACATGTTGCTGAACTAAAAATATATATATTTAGATGTATTGACATGCTACTTGAATGTTCCAATTTGAAGAAATGAATTTATTAATTAAGAGGTCGAATTTTGCTAGTGAATGAATTCAGTTTCATGTGTCATGTAGCACTCGAGTGACATTGTTCATTATTATAAATATGTTAGTAAAACATTAAGGATGTGTTTGGGAGTGATTTTAACATGGTGGAAATCATTTTTGTCATTGTCAAAATCACTTCACTTTTCATTAGTCATGTTTGACAAATCAAAAAAATGGATTTTATGAAAGTTTAAAATCACTTTAAATTTATTTTTAAGGTATCACTATGGTAATTTTGAAAAATCAATTATACTTCAATATCTTTTGTTCAAAATCATTCATTTCTACTATCACTCTCAGACACCTTCTAATTTAATGACGTGTTAATAATTTTTTTTAGGAAAGGATCCCATCGAGATTTTTTAATCTATTAAAGATAAAAGTAATAAATACAAAAGGTTATTGGTCAAATTGAAAACTATCTCATACTAATGATCTTAAATGCATTTAACCTATCTAATAAGTAATAGCAAATCTGATGATAGCTCAACGATTTAAAACACCATAAGATTGGTCAAAAGTAGGTATAGTTCAACGATAATTATCATATATCTTTAATTAAAAGATTGTGAGTTTGATTTCTACCTCATATATGGTATTAAAAAATTATATCAGAAGGCTATGAGTCTGAATCTTTCTAATTCATATATTTTTAAACGATAAAAATAATAAGAATAAGTAATAAAACAAAATATATAGTAAAGA